GCTGCTGTTTCCGCAGCTGAGCCCGGACTGGCAGGTGGATTACGAATCCTACACCTGGCGCAAGCTGGATAGCGACAGCGAGGAGTGCAAGACGCTGGTCAAGGAATATTTCCTTTGGGAAGGAGAATTCCAGCACGTCGGAAAACCCTTCAACCAGGGCAAGATCTTCAAGTGAGGAAGAGGAGGAGGAAGGCGGCGGCGCCCGGCACCGCACGGACTCTCAGCGGGAAAGGGGGGGAATTTCGGGAAAGGCCGGAGCGCTCCCGGGAGTGGGAATGGGGTCGGAATGTTGTGTCCCCCCCACACGTTATTCCAACAAAAAAAAAACCCCCCCCCCAAGTGCTAGAGCTCCGGATTTGGCTCCGAATCTCTTCCCAGGTGGAAAAATGCTGGATTCATAGGGGGGCTGGGCACAAGGAGAGGGGATTCCAGCCCTTTCCCGCTGGGATTTAAGGATGGGGGCAGCGCTGAGGCCCCCGGATCATCCCTGTGGCTCCCTGTTTTCCTTGGGATTTCCGGATCCGCAGGGATGGAGGGAGCACCCTGACCCCCCTCTTGTGTCCCTGTTTGTTGTGCAGGGGTTGGAGGGGACACCCCAAAACTTGGGAACACCCCAAACCTTGGGAATGTCCCAAAACCTGGGGACAGGGAGGGGACACCCCAAAACTTGGGGACACCCTGAAACTTGGGGACACCCCAAACCTTGGGAATACCCCAAAACCTGGGGACATGGGGGGGACACCCCAAAGCTTGGGAATATCCTAAAACTTGGGGACAGGGAGGGGACACCCCAGAACTTGGGGACATCCCAAACTTTGGGAATATCCTAAAACTTGGGGACATGGGGGAGGGACACCTGAAACTTGGTGACTTTGGGGGGGACATCCTCAAACCTTAGGGTTTTTTGGGAGGGGCACCCCAAAATTTGGGGACTTTGCAGGGGGGGACCCTAAACCCTGGGGACAACCTGGGCTTGGGGACTTGGAGGGTTCCTCAAACCTTGAGGACTTTTGGGGGGGAAATCCCAAATATCAGGAGTTTGAGGGGGGACACCCCAAACCTTGGGGACACCCTGAAACTTAGGGACTTGGGGGCAAATATGGGGGAGCTGGGGGGGACACCCCAAATACAGGGGACACCCCAAACCTTGGGGACATGTTTTGGGGGGGAAACCCCAAATATCAGGAATTTGAGGGGGGATAACCCAAACGTGGGGGATACCCTGAAACTTGGGGACTTGGGGGAGCAAATACAGGGGAGCTGGGGGGACACCCCAAATACAGGGGACACCCCAAACCTTGGGGACATGTTTTGGGGGGGAAACCCCAAATATCAGGAATTTGAGGGGGGATAACCCAAACGTGGGGGATACCCTGAAACTTGGGGACTTGGGGGAGCAAATACAGGGGAGCTGGGGGGACACCCCAAATACAGGGGACACCCCAAACCTTGGGGACATGTTTTGGGGGGGAAACCCCAAATATCAGGAATTTGAGGGGGGATAACCCAAACGTGGGGGATACCCTGAAACTTGGGGACTTGGGGGAGCAAATACAGGGGAGCTGGGGGGACACCCCAAATACAGGGGACACCCCAAACCTTGGAGCAAATACAGGGGAGCTGGGGGGACACCCCAAATACAGGGGACACCCCAAACCTTGGGGACATGTTTTGGGGGGGAAACCCCAAATATCAGGTATTTGAGGGGGGACACCCCAAAGCTTGGGGACACCCTGAAACTTGGGGACTTGGGGGCAAATATGGGGGAGCTGGGGGGGACACCCCAAATACAGGGGACACCCCAAACCTTGGGGACATGTTTTGGGGGGGAAACCCCAAATATCAGGAATTTGAGGGGGGACACCC